AAAAAAAAAAAAAAAAAAAAAAAAAAAAGGAAAAAAAAAGGGAAATAAAAAAAGAGAGGGGAGGGGAAAAAGAAAAGAAAAGAAAAGAAAAAAAAATAAGAAAAAGAGAATAAACTTTTATCCTTACACACCGCATATTACTGGGACCTGCGAGTTATCAAAGTTGCGCCTGGGGCGCTCCAAAACTTTGTCCTGCGGTTATAAAACTGTTCAAAAGCATCGTAGTCGTGCTCCGGACAAAGCGCGATCATTGATCGGAGCATCGACTATGGTATCCGCTAAGCGGCGGATGTATTTTCTTATTCTGTTTTGAGGCTCTTGCCGGAACATCTCACGCATAAGTTACTGAACTGTAATGCAATCATCGTTACTGTCCTAATAAACCTTAACATATGACTCTGTAAATTAACTGTTTGAACATTTACTTTCTTTCTTTCTTTCTTTCTTTCATTCTGTCTTTTTTTTTTTTTTTCTTCGCAAAACCAATCTCTTCGTTTCAATTTTCGAGTCTGAAAATTCGATCAAATTCGTACGTGGAAAAAGTTTCTCCAGAAGAGGAAAAGATTTTTAAATTCGTAACAATTTTGGCAGGTTTTATCTGTATCGGATCGATCTGATAATTTAATTTTGTTAAATTAATGGAAATTATCATTCCATTGATAATTGTCGATGTACATTGTATGAGCAATCGTCTTCGTTTTAAAAATCTAATTTTTGTACATTTTCGAGCTGGTGCAATATTATTGACATTCCTGATACGAATATTATTAATAAAATTCTACAAAAATACTTTATTATTATTTCCCCGCCTTTTTTAACTCTAACTTATCTCAACCCTTATTTTTCGCGTCAACGACGAATATAAATTCTTCGTGTTATCGTGTTTTATTCGCTCTATTAATCGCATTCACGGCTGTTCGACATCGACGAGAATTGCGGATGCGGCGAATATCGTATTCGCCAGAGTTTTCAACGAAACGGCATTACTTATACTTAGCCATCACGTTGGTCGTTTGTATCGAAAACGCGGATCGACCAGAATATCGAATAGTCGCCAACTTCCGCCAAACGTTCGCCACCACGTAGAGGAGCCGTTTTGTAAATTTATCACGGAAACCTGTTCATCAATTTCACGTCCTACATTCCTCTTCATAATGTTTCTTCTTATACACAAATAAAAAAATGCCGAAGCGTTGGTTAAATTTCTCGATAAATCCGCGAAATCGTTAAGCAAGGAAAGATCTTCCACTTTCGACTAAAGAGCTATAAAATCGGAATACTGCTCTTACATTGCGCGAAACGTTCGAGTCTGAATCGTTTGGGATAATTATTTGCAGCAATTAGCACGCGGGTAAAATGTTAGTGAATACTACGTGCAAATCGTGCTCGTAGAAACGACGATGGAATGTTAACTTTATGAATGTTGTAACTTTAACGAAATTATATTTTTTTTTTCTTTTTTTTTTTTTTTTAAGAACGAAAGCACAAGAGAAAAGCCACAAGGGCAAAGAGCTTTCGTTTTATCAACGAGCATTGGGTACTTGCCAGACGCTCATAGATGTA